TGCAACCCCCACCCCACACACGCACTCGTACTCAGCAGAAAACCCAAGCCTGAGAAAGGTACCTCTCATATTTGCCTGTCCTGGTTTGGGATGACTTGGGTGCCCTTGCTTCCACTTCTCACCTTGTTAAATGGGACAAGGATGTGAGGAGTCCAGGCTACCCTGCTTCCATAGTGCTCTGCTCTGGTTAGAGCAGCCCTAGATCTGGAACAGCTCTCTTGATGTAAAGAGAGTAACATTTTCTCATTATTGCTATTCCTTGTAGATCAAAAATTAAGGGCAGTGGAACCCTTATGCAGGACGTTGCAGAAGCAGGACTGAGACACTTAGACCCTAGTTTTCAAGTAATTAGCTTTTTATTTTATTTCCCCTAAGTGACCATAACTGTTTCTTACTCACTATATTTTTTCTCTGCCAGGAGCTCCTAAAAACCTTTGGAAAGTCCAGTCAACCTTTAAAAAGCTAATTCATTAGCAAGGTAATACTTAACTACAGGCTTTTCTCCCCCCACACTCCTTGTTTCACAGTAGGCTTACAATAGCTTGACTTGTTTGTTGGAAAGGAAGCTCTGCTTGTGAAAGGTATACCTTATTGTACCCTCAGAGACTGGGAGCCATCTTAAAACAATTTGCCCAAAATTCATACAATGAAAATGAAATGTGATGGAGCATGAGAATGTTGAGGTGAGTACCACAGCTTTCTTCAGCACCCAGTATTTGAATCCTGGTCCTTTTCAGGACCCCTGGTAACCTGCTACCCTTGGCCGGTGCTTGCCCTACCTGAAGTCCCTCTAATAAATGCTTACTGTAGCCATTCCTGGTGGCAGCTGGCCAAGCAGAGAGCACAGAGGAGCAGGAATATCTTACCTATGTATTTGCAGAAGCCTTTTGCAGGTGACAGGGCTAGACTTTGCCATGACATGCAAGGAATACACTTGTTAACAGCTTCAGGTGAAACCCTAGGGAGCCCTCGCACTCCCTTAGGATAAGGGGTGACTTGGGGAAAATCTTCTTAGATCCTTTAATCTCTCCTGCCTCTAGCCTCCTCACTACTTCTGTGCCTATCATTAACTATAAACCCCAATGTCCTAACAGGTTTCTTTAGTATTTTAAAGGAGGCTGGGGGAGGAAATCAGGAAAAGGCTGCCTGTGTTCTGCATTATTTGTCATGGTAATAAATGTTTCCCATATTAAGGTTGAATAGCCTCAGTGGGACACACCTGTGTCCCTCTTACTAGCTGTGATCTGTACTAATTGAGTGAATGATGTGCCCATTGAAAGACAATGGAAAAGAAAGAAATTAAGATGGATGAATTCAAAAGCACTTCTCTAGCAAGGTGAGAACAATGTTGTTTCACATTTGTTTAATTCCTGGAAGTCTGAGATGTTTTGATCCTGAATTTTCCCATTTGATAACAAAATTGCCTTTTTGTTCAAGCCTCTTTTACACATATCCGTTTTTACAGGGAAGATCAAAACCTTGTTTCTGGAGCAGAGGCAGTTAAAACAGTCACCAGCCTTATAAACTGACACTGCAGCTGTTTCTTAAGTAGCAATGGATCTTAATGAAAGGCTGCTTGTAAAATTATTATCACAGCAGCAAGTAGAGGTCCCAACTGATATTAGGCCCCTGTTGTGCCAGGCACTGTATGAACACATTAGGAGAGAATAACTTCTCTGCAAGGAATTTAAAACCTCATTACATAAGACAGAAAGAAGCTGTGCCAGGAATAAGGGTCCCCACGGGGTAAAGAAAAGGGTCCTGGTCACAGGGAAAACACACATGGCAGAGCTAGGATGAAGATGCTGAGTTCCTGCCACTGGGCATCACTGGTAGCCCTAAAGGAGGAAGTTGTTCGTGTCAGGACCCATTTATTTCTTTTGCTTGAGGCCAAGATTTGAGAATTTTTTTCTCCCCAAACACAATTTCCACTCCTGCACAGGGAAAACCCTGGGCCTGACCTGGGGCACCTCATCACCATGCACTGGGATGCATTACAGGGCATTACAGAGGCAGCACACCTAGAGCTGGGCTCTGCATCCAGCAGATCAGCAATACATTTCAAGCAGCTGTGCCCATTTTATTAGGCTGTCACGGCCCCTCTCCTGAGCCCTGCCTCCTAAACTTGTGTCAAATCTTCTTTGGACTTGAAGTTGGAAGGGTCTGAACTCCCAAGACAGTACTTTTCTTGTAGTCTGTTGGCAGCATTGACAATTAGGCAACTGATGCATTAACATGCCAGAGAGGCTCTGATGTTTATTCATGTGCTGCTCTCGAGGGTTTATTGAATTGATGCCTGGTAAAGCAACTAATGGGAGCCCTTGGCAGGGTACCTTAGATGGATTTCCTTATTATCTCTCTAGATTTTATACTCTCTAGCAAAATCAATATTCAAGCTGGTGCGCAATGCAGCCTCTTTTAGCTTCAGGGTTTAAAGATTTATGGGGCATCAGGGAAAACCAATGAAGGCAAAAGACAATGACAAAAGAAGTAAAATCCAAGTGATACAAAAGGGTAGGCAAAAGCAATCATTAGTTTTTGAATTTTCTATCTTCACTAAGGAACCATTTTTCCATTGACCCTCCCCTGCCCACCTCCCTTCTACTCCAGTGAGGTTGCATGTTGCCTTTGCACTCCAGAAGGCGTGACCGGGACATAGGAAATGCTGAGCATTTAACAGGGAGTTAAAAGGATTTCAGGTGGCAGTTTTAGCTTTCTGCAGGTACGAGATGCTGAAAAAGCACCAGAGAGCAGGGAGGAGAACAACTGCGGTAGCATACCTACACCCTGGGTATCTTACCCCTTTCCATAACAACTCTGATCTATATTGTATGGACCTCTGTGGGGCCCCAACAGCTCTGTGAAACAGAGCCAAAGTTTCTACATAGGTCAAAGAGCTGGAATAGGGAGGAAAACAGCCTTTTGCTCAAATACTTGCATTTCTTTTTCTTTTCCTTTTTTTTTCTTTTCCTTTTTCTTCTTCTTCTTTTTCTGTCTGAAGTCCTTCAGTGTCACAGGGTCAGTTTTCTTCCCATTTCAAACTTGCAAACTGCCTTGTGCCAGTGCTTTCTGCAAGCAATGTAGTCGTGTGTGTTCCCCCCCCCCCCCCAAGATATGACCCGCTGCTTTGTGAGCCTGCAAGCTAATTTTTATGGTTCTAGCTAGCTAGAGCAATTATGAGACTCAATCAGATATGTTAGTATTTCATTAATTCTGTGAAGTTATCATTAAGATTCCCACCATATTTGCTTATGACTGCCCTAAAGGGAAAGAAGTGATAGCATTTAAAGGGTTCACAGCACTGTGAGGTTAAGTGGGTACACAGCTGGCTGTCACCAGTGCTACCTCTGGAATTTCCTGATCACAAAATTACTGCCTGTTTTCTTTTCTCTCCCATCTTCAACAGCAGCATTATGAGACTTTGCCCAGCCATCTTTGTAACACGCTCGGAGGAGTTACGAAGTGAAATATCACTCATTGTGCTCTAGGGTAAGTCAGAAGATTTTTCCCTTTCACATTGCTTAGGATGTTTTTTATTGCACAAGGTTACAACTTAACTGTTAGAATAACATTGGGGGCCTGAAATGTCATCTAGCTATAAATGCAAACAAGTTCACAGTTAACAGTATTTGTGGGTGTCTAAGTGTTTGCATAGGGCACAACCCTATCCCATCCGTGGCTTGCATGAACTGATTTCATAGTTAAATTGAAATGAGGAATTGGACTGCACATACCAGTCTAGAAACCATACAAAGTTCTTAGCAGGAGTCAGATTCAGTCCTGGTCAAGAATGCAAATGGTAGAATTCAAATGGCACCAGAGGTCCTGCGTGACCTTTCTAATCAAGAACAGTCGCTGCCTGCCAATGCCATCTTCAGGACACATGAACATAAGACAGGCAGACAGTGATTGCAGCATCACATACCTACAGAGCTTTTACGCATCATGCTGCACTTGTAAAAAACCATCTTGTTTCATGGGAATAATCATAGCCATGGTGTGGTTGAGGCAAGGAAGCTTCTTTGTCATCCTTTATTCCAGGAGACCTTCAGCGCTGGCATCATTGTGTGTCATTCAACCATACTCTTTGCTTGCCTTCCTCCACAAACTGAGGTACAACATCTGTAAGCGCAGTTCATAAGCCAGTGAAGAAAGTAAATATTAAGCTTTATTTATTGCTTGCTCCTCCAAAACATAGGTGAAGGATGTTTTGGTCCAGTTTGCATGCTGCCAGAAGGTACTGTCACAATCACAAGTCTTGACATACAAACTCTGAAACACTTGGTACAAGGAAGTGGTGTACAAATCCCATGCGGGGTCTCAAGGAAGGGGCAAATTTCAACCAGCAAAATTCATGGCCCAGCAGACTGTGGAGGATCCTGTCAGTTGCTATGTTATGTACCTCTCTCCCCCAATCATTTTATTACCCTGAACATCTGCGGAAACGTGGAGGTGCAGGGAGCCTCGAGGCTGCTCAGCATGCTTGACTCCATTTTCTCCTTAAACATGTGCAAATGCTACTTCTATTTGCACCTTTGCAGAGCTGTGATTTGCAACACCAAAGCCTAAATGACACCCAAGATCCCTCCAGAGCATTAAACAAACAAGCTAGTAGGACATCTCACAGTCTGGGAAGTGCTATATTGAAAGCAGTAGTACAAACTACACTGCTCTGAAAATGAACCGGTTGAATTTCTTTGCTGTGATCCAAACCTGAGAGGCCTTTTCTTATGGCTTTTTCTGTGTGAATCCAGGCTCTATGCACTCCCAGCAAATGGAACCAGGATTCTGATTCAAGGCTTCTAATATAGAAAATCCTGTGTTTCTCATCTCATTTTGGTTTAAATTGGATTTAAACAAATAAAATATGAGGAAGACAGCCAGGAGACTAGTCACAGTAATATTTTGACAGAGCAGGTGTTTAACGTGTTTTGTCACTGAGCTTCTGATTTGATACTAACAGTAGATACAACTTTATAACTTTACAAAATTAGAGGAAATTAGTAACAACTTAAAAGTTAGAATGTGACTAGGACTATATAAGGTAGTGTGGGCTTAAGGATTAATATTGGTTGAAGGACTGTGTTAAAGTAATTGGCTATAAGGAGAATACGTTTCTGCTGGTATCTCCTGAGATGTCTGCAAGCTCTGAAGTTTATCCTTAAAACAAACCTTCTTCTCTTCCTGCTAAATGGCTTTTCAGAGAACAGCCCTATCCCATGTTACTGCAATTGGGCACATAGTAGGTTTCACAGACACAGAATAGCAAAATACATAGCGCCTCTCTTCTAAAATTCCTTTAAAAATGCCTGTTTTCTGGCCAGTCATCTCATTGCAAATGAACCTGCTGTGATCAGGACATTCTATAATGTGATGTTTGGTCCCTTTTTTTCTGAGATACACCATGCATTTCAGGAAAACCATCGCGTTTACTAGAAACAAAATCCATAAATCTGTCCTCTATCAGTCTTTTCCTTCTGCTGAATCATTACCTAAAGAGTTTTGGAAAGATTTCTTCAACTGGAAAAAAAAAAGGAAATAAGTGTTAGTAAGGCTAATCTTAAAAGGAAATGGGTGCAAAAGATGACAAAAGATGATCTCAAACATTTCAGTTCTTTGTTCCTCACTGTCTAGGGCTCTCACTCTTTGAATTGTGTGCTAAAGAACTTGATTCTGCTTGATAATATCAGTGGTAATATTAATATAAATCAATAAAGTATTATAAGACTATAATAAAGAGCATCCCCTCCCATGGTGTTTACATGAAGTTTCTGCAGAATTGAACCCTTATTGTTAATTTAAGAGAATTGATTAATCCCTCAAAAATCCTTTAAGGAATGTGTATGTGGAAGAGACCATTAAACGATAAGGCAGCCATCTAAGAGAATTTTGAGGCATATTTTATATTACAAAAGGCAGGCAAACAATATTTTATGGTTACATAGTGAGATCAGAGCAGTCAGAAATGCTGACTTTGAGCTTCTCCAGAAAAACAACAGACCTTCCAGTTCACTGCCTTTACTGCCCTTGTAAAACTGGGTAATTGTCTCTGCAATCTGAAGCCATAAATTACTGATTTCACACGGTAGGAGAGGGTTGGATGTACTAATTAGTCAAACAGTTGCAGTCAAAATCCAAGCAAGCCAAATACCATCCACATATTTATATGTTCTTCTCTGAAGAATCTAGATCATTGACAGAGTTTAATGAGAAATATCAAGGCAGGTCCAGTTCCAGTTCTGCCCGTGTTGCCTATGAGGACTGAAAGTGCCCTGAAACACGGGCTCCACCCCTTCAGAGCTGGAAAGTGTCCTGCTCTAGGCTGTGGCAATGAGATACGGAATAGTAAAATTGCATTGCAGATCAGCGATCCCTTCCACTTAAAACCTTGAGGGTGAGCCTGAAACACCTCCTTACATTGTGTATAAATGCCTTGAAGTCCATTTTTGCTTGGGGAGTTCCTTTTATTTCCTTTGCACTGGTAGAGAGCTCCTGTGGGGCAGACTTGACTGTGTTTGACTCAGGCATTTTCCTGGTGGGAAACTGCATTGAGGGTGCCTCCAGCTGTGGGGCAGAGAGTGAACATGTTGCTGTTGTGGTTTTGCTAGGAGCTCTTGGGATCACCATTTTTGAGCACCCACTTTGAGGATGCTCAGTGTCAGCAGCATCTGGAAACATTTGTTTATTCTGGGCTTTTCTTTCTCCCTTCCAATCAGAGAGTCCAAGCTCAAAAAACAGATGGGATTGTTCTGCTAGTAATTGGTCCAGCTGCTGCAGAGAAAATAGAAGGAAAAGCATATTGCAGTAATAAAAATATAATAAAAGGAATCAAGCAGGATACACAAGAGTCTATGAAGCATGCCTGATTCTTCTGCTTGGTCCAGAGAAGACATGTAATATCTGGCTAATGTGATGTAGCCATAAAGAGAAAGAGAAAAGCCTAAAGGACATTTAATCCAAACCTATAGACCTAATTGCCTAATGGAAAATCTGCAAATGGACTTCAGCCTGTGGCCATTGCAATCTTGGCCCTCTAACCTAACCTTGTCAGGGAAGAATTAAAGACAAGTCCCCTGACCATAATTTCTTTACCTTTCCTTATTGACCAGAGAGCTAGACCAGAAAAGAACCAGACCGGTAACTGTTTCTCAATGATTATGTAGGCTGACTGCCTGTTACCTTATTCTAGCAACCAAGAGCAGAGTAGGATGCAGACACTTTTATAAGTGTTGTCACTTCTCCTGGGTAGTCGAGCTCAAGCAGCTTAACCAAGAAGAAAGAGGGTCAAAGATGTAAACTGAAGTCTGTTATTGGAAAGCCTCCTCTTTTTGGCAGTGACAGGATTGTTCAGCTGTACCTCAGGGTCAGCACTTTAAACAATGAATAGCAGGACAGACTTTAAACTCTCCCCTCACAACCCATAGCAGTGGTTTGTTCAACATACCATAAGGATGCTCCCCCTGACCTGGCAAGCTTGATCCCTCAGCTGAAATTCCAGCTCTGCAACCTCCTGACGAACAGCTCGCCGTAAGAGTCGCAGGTGTCTGGCTTCCTCCCTGCAGGGACAGCAGTGAAAACACACTTGAGCGAGCAGCGAACAACCTCCTCTTCTTCAGCTCCAACATAATGCCTGTATCTTCTTCCACTGCAGTCTTGTTTTTACCCGTGATCACAGGATACCTTACAAAACAATAAATAACAGCCCTTCTCTGCTAGACTCTCATTTCCTTGATTATCTCAGTTGCAAGATAAAACACACTGTAGTTGCAGAGCCAGCTTGAGTCTGGGCAGGTTTATCACTTCTGATTTATCACCCGCACAAACACTGCATAAATGTCCTACTTTTAGGCAGCAGAGACTGGAAGCCCCTTGTGATTTCTTGTGAATCTGAGGTTTATTGGTAATCACTGTGAACTTGGGCTGAGTCCATGAAGAGCTAGTTCAAGTTTTCCTCTGTTGCCCCTGCGTTGATTGTGTGCGCTAAATACATGGCCTAAAGGGACTGATTTGTCAGAGATCATCACCACCTCCTTCCCTGGGACACCAAGCTCCAGCTGAATGAGATTTGTTCCTGTGTTACTGTTGTTATTAAAACATAGTATTTCCATGCTAAAAATCTAGCCTACATCTATGGTGCAATCTTCCCCTTTAGGATGTTTATATTTAAGATCCTTGAATGACGCAGAGAGAAGTTCACTTTCCTCTGAGCAAAACCCACATCACAATACATTTCCACTTGCGAGATGCCCACAGCTGCACCTCAGTGACCAGAAGTGCTGTGGTGCCGCAAATGACCAGTCATGTTGCATGCACCCATGGGCTCTTGTTGATGCTAGTTTTGGATTTAGTGTGTTGGGCTGCCGTTACCTTCCTTCATCTGGCATAGCGCTGGAAAACAGCACCTGCTCTTCTGTCAGGTGCTGTTCAATTTCATCCAGCTTCTCCTGGAAGTGCTGGCAGGAGCTCTTCATCACTTCTATCTCATTGAGGGTACACTACACAGAAAATCAAGAAGACATCCCACTTTACTTCCTTTCTTTGGACACTTCCATGTTGAGTGCATTTGAAGCTGACAGCCTAAACCTTATGGGTCCTCCTCTTACCTGCACAACAGGGACCTTGTGAGCAGCTGCCATGAAAGTCCAGATGGCACTTCAAGTGAGTTTACTCTGTGTGCATCACTCACATCCCAGTCACCACCTTTTCCCCTAAAGCATGTAGGATCAAGTCCTGGCACTACCCGATGATTCCATTTTTTGCCATTGAAGGGGAAAAGGACTTTGATCAAAGATCTGATGCAATGTGCCAAAATCTGATGTTATCACCCTGTTGTCAGACATTATATTTGAACAGGATGAGTTGCTATGGAGTAATGATAGGTTAAATTACTGTTCACTGGACTGTTTTTAAAAAGCGAAAGAGGGAGAAGGGAAGAGAGGGAAGATAAATACAAACTATGAGAAGGAAAAGAGTCTTTCCTGAAGGGTTCTGCCAAGCATTACACTGGTAATTTCTCATCTATTACCAGTTACTAACCTAAAATTGGATTTATCTAACCAAGTGCAGATATTTACTGCAACAGTGTATGGGTAGGTGCTGCAACAGAGCAATTGTTCTGATCCAGAAGTAGACATCTGTAATAGGTCAGAGGACCTATGCCACAAATGTGACCATTACTCTTCACTGAGAAAAAGGTATCTTGTATGATTGATCATCTACATCTACCCTGATGTATCTATCTACACCAGGAATGTTTCAATGCAGGGGAGATAAATGAGCAGGAATGGCACATGAAAAAGCATAAGCAGATTTGCAAGTTACTACATTGCAACACAGGACTAGTACAATGATAGCAGCCCATCAGAATAAAACTAGAGGCCATCTAGGTCTGAGTTTCTAGCCACTTTAAAACTTCTGCTTGGCTTTTCACACCTTGTCCAGGGCAGCAATGCAGACAGCATCATCCAAGTGATTTGGGAAGCAATACTGCCTGCCTTCTGAAAACATGCTCCCGCTATTATGCTGAAAGTACTCGAAGTGCAAGAAGGTGTTTGGCATGTTCCCATCTTAGCAAATTTTGGTCTCTAGTAAGCCATGGGAAGACAGTGCATGACCTGCACTCCATTACTGACTACTGGAATTGATAAAGAGGCATGTTTGCAAAGCATAGAAATGCTCAGTCTCTTTGGATTCCTGCAATCATATCCTTTGATGACATCTGTGCTTGTGCTTGAATATGTCCCTCAGTCCCAGCAAAACCTGAGACATGATGAAGCCCTCCCTGCTAGGGGATCAGCTTCAACCAGAGGGCTAAAGCTGCTCCCCATGCATTTGAAAAACCTAATTCTCCATCTCAATTTCAGTGAAGACGCTATGTACGAGCACTCCTGCCGTGAGTGATCCAGAATAAACCATCCCATAGCAGCAAACGAAAAAGCCTTGACCCAACAGCCATGGGTTTGCACCAGAAGAGGCTACTCGGAGACTAACAGTAGTTTGATATGGCCAGTTGTGTGACTGCAGCGGAGGTGAACTCTCCTATGTATCTGCTTCATGTAGAGCACAACTGTAACTCTTAATGCTGCGGATGAGGGCAGCAATCACACACCTGGGAGGCAGCTTGGTGTGTTAATGAGCACCTGCAGACTGAGTATTGGCTGATTGTCCATTTTCCTCCACCCTAAATGTTAATCTTGATCCTCAAACAGTTTTCTTGTTCCTAGATGGAAGTGTGTGGAGTGCAAGTGAGCAGTGCCCATAATCTAATCATGGTACAAAGTCATGCTAGCCCTTATAGATGAGGTACAGGCAGCTCCCCTGGCACTGTCTTTTTGAGTATATTGCAGAGCACAAGTTCATATGGATTCATTCAGAGTTCACACTCTGCAGGGATGGAAGGGGAATTAACTGTTCTAGAACTATTCTCATGCAAGACCTTTTTCAAAATAATGTGCATGTAAGCAGGCTAAACCTACTATCTAACCATTGCTCTGTGGTGGTTGCATTCCCCATGCATGCCTTCAGTAAAGGGGATGTAACCTGAGCAAACTTGTCTCAGTAAAAGATGTAGAAACTACCCCATCTGTAATGCAAAGTACAAAGTAGGCACGGATGTAATCTCTGCAGTGACTAACGTTAAATTCACTCACATATTGCACAGTGACTTGGATGTGAAGCCATATCCCTAAGAACATATCATAGAATCATAGAAGAATGTAAATTGGAAGGGACCTTAAAGCTCATCTAGTTCCACCCCCCTCTCTGCACTTCCACCAGACTAGGCTGGATAACAGTACAGTGCAGTCTGTTCCTCCCACATTCCCTGTCCACAGACTAGAGAGGACAAATTACCATTAGCCCCCACTAGAAGGCTGCTAAAATGGTAGTGAATGAGGAAAAGCTCCTCAGTCCAGGATAAGGTACTGACTCACTGCCATCTTGTGGCAACAGCAAGGCAGCTGACAGAAGGTGTATTTTGCAATACACTGTTCAAAGACAAGACATTGCAGGATGATCTATTCAATGATGTAGCAGCATAAAAGTCATCAATTTAATTTTCTAGAACTTTTAGCTAAGAATTTTCTTCCCCAGCTTGTACAGCAGTTCAAGTTTCATGTCCTTATGAAGAGCAAATAGAAGAGGAAAAATGGAAATGCCTGCAAACTAGCAGGAGGTATGCTGCTCCTACCACGTTTCCCTGAGGATGCAAAGGCTTCTCTCGACTTCCCTGCTTGCTTTCTTCCACAACATACGCTGAGTCTTTCACAGCTTTGGGGAACCCTCAGCAATTCTGAAGAGGAACTCCAATTTCTCATTTGACCTGTAAACTTTATCACCCAGCTCACAGTAATCATTTTAAGATTGAACTGATGTACATAAGTTACTAAAAGAGGCACAACTGAAGGCACACAGATACGTTTGTCATTTTTACCCAGAAAGGAGTGTTTCTTTCCCCATTCATTTTCCCAGTTACATTCTCAGGACATGTCTCACTAAAGAAGCATGCATGGCAGGAGAGGAAGGAAAAAGGCAGCTTGTACATTTAGCTAGCGTGTCAGCTATCCAAGTGTGTGGAGAAAGCTACTCACCGGAGCAGGATTATGTGTTGCAGTGTCCTGTAGGAGCACCAATGTTTTCAAGAGGTGCAGCTCAGTGGTGGCATGGTTTGAGCAGCAGCCCACAGGGCCCTGGGGAGAGACAGCCACAGGGAAGGTCCATGGGCACCAGCCATGGCAACAGCAGCAGTGACAGCAGTGATTGCCCTGCACACCCCTGGTGCCAGAGGCTTCACCCCCATAGCGTGACCTGTATTTGCCACAAACCATGCTGTCAAGAGAGGCTGATTTTGTCAGATGAGCATGGGGTGAACAAAGCAGTGGTGGCCACCTGGGTTTCCTGGTGGGGTTGTCAGTTTGGCTGGAGGCTTCCGTGGTCTGTTTCACAACACCCTTCAAAGCCCCTGGGTCTGACTGTATGAGAGGAGCACCCTCAGAACTGTGCACTGACATGTTGGAGAAGTCCACGGGACCTTCCCTAGCAAGGCGTTCACCAAGAGGAGCATTCTGCCCTGTGCCCTTTGCTCTTGGAGTAAACTCCAGCATTGAAGGCATCTGAACAGTAACAGATTTCAGGGGAGCAGAAGCCATTTCACCTGTTTGGACAGCATCTCCTTGTTCTGATTTGTTAGCACCTAACATCTCCCCTGTGCTACCAGTCTCTTGCTCTTCAGATAAACTAAATTCAGGCCATTCTGCTAGGCAGGAGGGATGCCTCTGTGATACTTGCAGAGAAGACACACTGCTCCCACGTTGTGGTGCTGAGCCCCACTGCAGGGTTTCTGGGACCCCCATTTTGGGGGAGCATCTTGTATTTTTTGAATCACCATCCATTTTGCACAACTTCTGCCTGTTTGTCATTTCATTTGCTGTAAGCAGGGTATCGTCTTTGCTGGCAACTTCCATATCCCACCTCGGTCCTTTAACATGTCCTGTACTACTTCCATGAGCATCTTCATTGCTTGCAACTCCAATGTCCTTGTCAGTCCAGCACTTCTTACGTTCATCTTCACTTCTAATATTGTTCTCATTGATGACTGCAGGGTTTAGATCACTCAATTCAGTGAAGGTTACGTTTGCCTTTTTGTGTCCTTTACTAAAATATAAATAACAATCAAATTTGGAGGAGCCAGGATCATCCTCGCTATCACCCTGCAAACAAGGCCTCTGCTCTTCTATGCACCTCTCTTTTTCCAGTTGCTTTCTTTCAGTCTTCTCTTTCTTGTCCTTGTCACATACAATTTCTTGGACAAAACTCTGTGCCGCAGCTTTACATGCCTGATATGTGCTGTTTTCTGAAGTCAGCAGCAGATGAGTCTCTTCTCCCTGACTGGTGCATGCTTTCATTGATCCAGGTACTGCCAAAATGCTCTCACAAGCTGCAATAAAGACCTTAGCAACACAATCATCTGGCTCTTGTTGAAAATCTTGATTTAGCATAGGAAAACCAGTCCTGTGTGACAGAGCTCTTTCTTGATTGTAGATATCAGAAATAAAATTAATCTTTCCCGATGAAGAAGCGTTCTGAAGGGAGGGAAAAACCAAAACAAGAGGGATTGAAATACTACATTTGTTCTATCACACTGGTTTGCCTATCACTATTTTGCCCTGGGCACCCCAAGACATCTTTAAATACATCTTAAATACTCCATGAACTAAAGAATCAAAGATTCTTGTACTATTTCTTCCTTAATGGCTGTAGCCTTGAACTAGTCTTGCATCAGTGTGGTGCACAAAGTTCTGAGAAAGCTTCTCACCTTCTGAGGTTTTACAGGAAGATCAATTTGTTTTCATGAAGCTTTTACAACTCCATGAATTTTTATGTATTTATTTGTTACTTGTGCCAGGGTTACTGAATTTCTACAGACCTACTGATGACTACTGCTCATCTCTTACTTGCAAACCTGAAGGTTCTGGCAGCTCCTCCATGAAACCACTGCTATCTGACTGGCAGCTGCTTGTTCTTGTCACCATCACATCTGCTGGGGAAAACAAAAGGATAAGAAAAATTAGAAAGATGGACAGAAAGTAGTACCAGGCCAAAATGAATGTGGAGCTAAGCAGGACCACTTTAAACTGTCCATTTCTAGAAGTATTCTTGATCCTGGCCAGAGCTCTGCAATATTGCTACAACCACAGCATAGCTACTGCTGATATTACTAAGCGTTGACTTACCAGTGTAATCTACAACTACAGATTTCAGATTTCGATATATTCACACAATGCATACTGTGTAAATAACGCATAAAGCAGCCAACTGCTTGTTTTGCTATAAAATGTTGACTTCTGATTGTTAGAACTGGCTCAGACCAAGTCTCATTCATATCTGTGTAGTTTTGGTGGCTTAAACCAGGTGACTCCTGCAGGCAAAGGAATCTACCCCAGCCTTTCCCTAAACCTGTTTGTCTCTGCTTTGAGGCACTAAGTATCATCTTTGCCATTTTTTGGTCTGAGGACAAGAAATCACAGTAACAGAGATGATACAGGATTGCATGGCAAGACAAAAAGGGAAGAGGACAGTATTCCAGATTTACTAATCCAGTTTTCTAATTTAACACCCACACCATCTGGCTAAATTAATTCTTACCCCAACTTTTGCAATTAGACAAATTATACACCAGTAACTGGCTGATTTAATGAATAAAAGGCAGCCCTTTTTAAAAGTACAAATGCTTGAAAGTAAACCCTCAGTTATTCTGTACATCCTGATACCTATCAGCCCTTGGATAACTTACACTTTCAGGTAACTTTAATCCTCAGATAGTGCCCTCATTCTCAGATAGCTGACACAAACCCAGAGGTAGAGCTGGGGGAGCAGGCTGAGGGGAATGGAAGGAATGGAGACAGACAATCTGGCTACACTTCCTTTGTTGTTCCTTGCATATATAACCACTACTGAACACTAGGGCTTTTTATCTTCTGGTTGTATCCATGGAAAATGACAATTCACCAAACAGTTCTGAGACCTGAGTTATTAATTCCCATTTGTGTGAATTGGAAAATGCAAAAATCTGCAGTCTACAAATTATATTTTCACACATTAACGGACTATGTTCTAATTAAATGTATCTTGGACATCAGTTAATGAAAATCACACAATCTATTTGTAGGCAGCAACTGTAAAATCAAAAGCAGCTATCATTTTATGGTTTTGAAATTAATTACTTGCATTGTTAGTCCTGGTATCATCTTCAGCACACCAGCCAGTCAGTCACTTTCTTATTTTGGATGAGAAATATGTGGTTACCATTTCACACGTTATAAAATCTGCAGTGATGCTGCTGAAAATTGCCTGGTTTTGTGGGTGGTCTCAAAACTCTTCCTTGCAGTTTCCCACAAACAGCATCATGGTCCAGCTTCTCCCCAAGGTGGGCTGATCTACACATTCTCGAAACTTTTTTTAAAGCTGTTTCAATTACCCTTTGCATCTTTGCCAGCTGTTGCTTCCAGTGTGCTGTTCTGGTCTAGAGTTTTCCACACATAAAAATGAAGAAAGGCTTAGGGAAAGATTTGAAAAGCTGAAATGCTTCAGCTGCTGTAGTTCCAACCAACCCGAGACTCAAACTATTTGAGTTTCAAATACTGAAAATCCTACAAACCTAACAGCTGATTTCAGGCTTTAAAGTTTGCAGTTAGAAGACCACAATCTGCTTGCCTAGTGTTTTAAGGTGCCTGTTTTTCTCCTTAGGTGTGCAGGCAAAGTAGCTGGCACGCCACATGTAAGTGAAAACCCTGTAGCTTTTGATGGAAGAGTAAGTGCAGCTAGAATTCATCTTCTGCAGCCAGATTTGACTCATTTATTAAGTTAAATGTGATGTACCTGTCAACAACAGTGCAATCTTCCCACCTACGTTTACATTTCTGCTCTAGCTAGACAGCTACCCAAAACATGGGAGAGTGGACTAAGGGCTGATCTTTAGGTAAAAGGTGAGACATTAAAGACTGGATAAAATGTCTGCATACCAAGTTAATATCACTGCAGTTAGGCTACAGAAAGACCTCCATGTATCTCCATGGACTTGCCCAGGAAGGAGGTGTGATGTGTGATTTGCTATCATGGTTCTCATTGATAAAACATGCAAGGCATCTAAATAAATCAAGGTTTAAAGCCCTCTGAAAGGCTGTCTATGTATTCATTGAAAAACGGCAATACAGTAGAACCTGTGGATGGATTTTTAGCAAAGAATGGCCACATTCCCAAGTCAGCAAGTGCCTATGTGGAGCTCGACATGAACAGAGGATGAAGGAGGACATGGGTAAAGAAGCAAAAGCAGCAGCAGCAAAAGTAGCAGTGCAAGCAAGATAAAAAGAAACTGGACTGTGCTAAGATACAAAATAGTGGACTGTTAGCAAATTTTAAAGGTTAAGTTCTCATATGCTCATTGTTACTAGTTGCTGTGTGCTGCAGGAATATGTATCAAAGCATAGTATACTGAGCTATTGTATATGTATTCAATCATCATACAACAAGCTATTGCATATATATCCAATTATAACACAGAGAGCTATTGTAAATGTATCCAATATTATACAGCGAGCTATTGTAAATGTAACTGTAGTTGAGGTGTATTACGAGAAAATGTATCCGATTATAATACAACAAGCTATTGTAAGCTGAGGCAGAGAAACAGTATAAAAAGGATTGATACGCTATAATAAATGGCTTTTGTCTGATCATATTGATCTCTGACTGACTCCATATATTTTCTGTGGCAAGAATCTAATGACCATTCTGAGTATAAATCCAGTTTCTAAAACTTTTTATGTTAGCAAAATAGAAACTTATAAAAGTATAGTAGAATGCAAACCATGTTAAGCACAGTTCACCTGTGCTTGTTACTGTGATTTCCTGTCCTCAGACCAAGTAATAACCTTCAACTGCATTAGGCCTCAAATTTACACCTACGTGCATAGCAGATACAAGATGACCTAATACATAGTAAAAGCTTAAATTCCACATACAGTCAGTGCAAAGCGATGTCTCTGAGGGTCTGAGCTGCAGTTCTTTTCCAAATACATTCAGATGCCTAATTTAATCATTACATCCCACATGGACTTGCAAGATCCTACCCAGTATGCCAAGCTTTGTTGAAGGTAGGCAGGTGAGGATACGGGGTTTTTGGAAGATGAGATGTTTCTCTGACTCTGTAATGCTTTATTCAAGCCAGTCACAATTCCCTTGATTTCAGTGGAAGCCTGAATTTTAAAGAAGACTCAGTAAAAGCGAACACAGGCCTCCAACTCAAGGTGGGTAAAAAGCTACGAAGAGGTTGCCAAAGTGCTCCCACAAGGACTTCATGCTGAAGAATGTGGCCCTGGGAGAGACACAGAGATGGGCTGTCCTGGGAAGGCAGGACGCAGTGCAAGCTGGGGCTGTGCCCAAACCAGATTAAGCATGATAGCCTTTTCAGTTTGAGGCAGCTAGCTTTCAACCTATGTAAATATAGTTTGGTGTAATGTCTGTATACCAGAGCCAAGTAATGTTTGCATAATGGCAGGCAGCATTTGCATAGCGCGGAAACTGTGTTTTGGGTGTGGAGTGAGCCGATCGATCACTTCATTTCCTCTTAGTGTCCCTAACAGCAGTTAAGTGACACTTCAAATTAGACCGTGCCTGATGAGGATTCGAGTCTCCCTCTTTGTGAATTTTTCAGCAATGTTAATAGCTTGCCAATGGTAACAGTCCAGTTTTTCTTGGCAGGCCCTGCTCCCCAGTGAGGATACACATAGCCCAAGTTTCTAGCAGGAGACTGACTCTTCGCAGGGGTCCAAAGCAGGTCTTTGCTATGTCTCCTAGGACAAATTCCTCTATCTACCAGGTATCTGAAAATGTCTAGACTGGACGCTGGTGCTAGCGGCTTGTGCCAGAATAGACTAGCACCTAAAGACCTTTCAGCAGTGGCCAAGGTCACCGCTTCTTCACAACAACAATTCCTTATGTTTAAATGAACTAAAGCCTTTTAGCAACTGGAATACTGTCCTAAAGGAGGGACACAAGTTGGCCAAATATATGGGGGGGGGGGGGGGAGTCAGGTCAGCAAAATTTACATAGTTCATTTTGACAGTTTTAGATGCTTTCACCTTTCTCTTTCAGATTAACAGTTTTTGTTTTGTTTTCCTGAAAGCAACTTTTTTTTTTTTCTTAATTTGAAGAATGGTGCAAAAAAATGTGTTAAATCACCTGAACTTCAAGCAAAACATGTTTCTGTTTCTAGTCTACCCAAACTGCATTTTTTCCCCAACCATTTGGTTCAGCCACTGAACCAAAGTATCTATTATTCATGTAGCTCTACTCAGTTCTCCTGGTGTGTAGAGACACCCAAAACCTGTAGAGATTCTGCAAATACATGCAGAGCATCACACCAAGGAAAGATAAAGTATGTTTGGAGAAGAAGTAAAGACGCAGACCGTATTCAACTATGAACTAAAAATTACAACTCTGGGCCCTGTGTGGAGAGTACATCTGGCTATGCTGGAAAGAGGAAACCTGAGGATTGCCCCAGAAGATCTTGGTGAGGAAAACCTTGGCTCTTCGCCTTTCTGTGCTAATTGAACTGGGATAGTTTAGCTCCTGCATCCCATTTCTGTTCTGCCTGAATTTTAAATAAAAACAGGCTAGAGGAACTTACTAATCAGGTTTCTGCTTCATTTTGTATCGTGTAAGAAAGTACATGCCTTCCAAACCCCAAAGCTCCCACTGCTTTCCAACCCTTTACTTGATCAGTCCAATTTCATTAAGAGACATTTTCTCTCCCCTTATTTGCATGCAGATACAGTGGCTCCCATTTTCAGCAGCCTTCATTACAGAAACTTTCTGAAACTATCAGGCTCCTAGGTTTACCATTAATGAAAGAATATTCCCTAATCAGTAATAAAATCAGTGCTAGAGTACAGTTCTGCATTCCTCTGAAGACTCCACAGCTGGTTTTCTGTGGACTTGGCTGCAAACGACACAACCTTTTTCTAGTTCCCAGCCTGGAGA